GAGGGTGAACATAGTCATGGTGCTATTTATCCAAGTACGTTTTGTGTCAATGTGATCGAGGTTCATGAAAATAGCAAAATCTCTTATCGCCCTTTCTATTCGCTTACGTGCCGTTGTTTACGGTGTGTTGGCTAGTCGTATGATAAACAATGTAATCCGGCTGCTGCTCAGTTTCGTCAATCGGAGCAGTCATATTCCCTCACCCTCATCAGGACCTCTTTTGGAATATTCATCTTCGAATCATAAGGTTCTTTCGATGGACTAAAGCGACATTTTTTCGTCATATAAGAAAGGAAATGGATCACCAGGGTCGAACAACAGGCGCGCGCATCAAGGGAATAGTGATAGGATGCTTTAGATGTTTTAGGATCATTTGTTGTTAAGGAATTTTAATCTCATGATGCATTCCAATGATGTTCGGGTTCATTTTGTTCGCTAATGTTTACGTTTTATGTTGAAAATTTATTTCGTCGTTTAATTACCCAAGTTTGAGGTATAAAAAGAGAATAAAATATTCTCTGATCCTGTCCGTGTCGGTGAGGAAAAAACGCGTGTCAATCGCAGTATTTGTGGAAGTTTATCGATTTTTTATGGTGCATCGCGTAGCAACGGAGCCGGACCGCAAGCCTGAGGTGAGGCACACATCTTTATAACGTGCGCCTATAATAGCAATTAGTTTTATTTTTTTACTAATTGCGCCATCTATATCACTTGAACTCTCTTCCTTCGTTCCCCTTTTGCTCTTAGGGCGAGTGATAATATAAAGCAAGGGGCATAAGAAAAATCAAGAAGTTTCCCTTTTATTTGGAATGTGGAAATTGCATTGAAGAAACCTCCTTTCTTTGCAACCCAACATTAATCATCGCTCAAAATCCACAACCCATTTGAAAATTTCTGTTTTTCCAAGAGCAAATTTCAAAGGGGGCAGTCGAAATTGGGACCATTTCTCTCTTCTTTCTACTTCAAAGTGGCGCACTTTGTTTTCTACATTATTACATTAGTATAAGTGCACATTATTTACAATAAGCCTGTTTAATTAAGGCTCATCTGTGTGGTTTTTTTTGATTCGATCTTGATTTTGTGTGTTTTTAGAGCAATAGTACATATTGAACTTGTTCTTTGAGCCTGTTTTTTAAGGCAGTTTTCTCATACTCACAACAGTTAATAGAAAGCAAATTTTTTGAATAAAGCACTCCCCTCTAGGAAGTATCATTAGATTAGTATTTTTACCTAAGTGTGCGCCCCCTCAACAAAAAAAAAGCAGGTTCAGATAAACATATAACAAATTCAACACAAAACAAACACACAAGCGCTACAAGAACCAACTATGGCAAGACTAATATCCCTTAAATCGCAAGAGACCCTTCTAACCCAGTACTGTGATATCCTCCAAACTGTTGTCAACAAAAGCGAGGAGTGCACAAAGGATCGCTGGGCGCCATGGGACGCAGTGAAATCACAAAGGACCAAGCGACGGTTTGGGAGCTGGGCGCAACGGCGAAGCTGGTTAGCGAAGCACTCGCTAATTTTACAGCTACAATGGACGCACTAACCGACCCACTTCCAGGAAGAATACAACAAGAAAGTCCAAGCACAAATCGAAGAAGCGCACACAACTCTGCAAAGAGCTCAGAAGCTAGCAATAGAGATGGAAGCGAGCCGCATCAGCGCTCGGGATCACGCTTTCACGAACCAGGAGGCAGCTAGCAACCACGCTACAGGGATCGCCAGGCCAAACCTTCCACCGATCCCTGTCCCGATCTTCACTGGGAAAGAATGGGAGTTCGAAAACTTCTGGGCCCTCTTCGCAGCTAATGTGCACATCCAACCCCTGACGCCTTTACAAAAGTTCAATTACCTACTCAATGCACTCCGAGGAGAAGCACGTGATTCAATTCGCAGATTTGCCGTCACCGAATCCAATTACGAACATGCCATCAAGTTCTTACGGGACAAATATGGTGACGAATCACGGCTTGTATGTTGCCTACAGTCGCGCCTCGAGAGCGCGAAGGCACACAACACATCTCTCGCGGGACAACGCCATCTTCTGGAGCAACTCCTACCGCTAGTTACGCAACTAGAAGAAAAGGGCGTCACACTGAATGGATCCTTCCTGGTACAAAAGATTCTTGCGAAATTCACCACAAGCATTCAGCGCAAAGTTTTGGAGCACCGGATGACCTCACCCATGAGGGAGGATATGTGGAAAATGAAGGACATTCTCACCGACATCGACAAAATCATAGACACAGAAGAGCGCATAAACCGAATGGTACACAATCTCGAACAGGACAATCGGATGCGCTCAGAAGGCTCACAGAGTTACAAAATACAGAAGACCCAACAAAAAGGGGCACCCTGTATATTTTGTAACTCTCATGAACACAAAGCGGCAATGTGTCCGAAGTACGACACAATACAGGAAAGGAGAAACTTTTTCAGGGAACACAACAAGTGCATGAATTGCGGAACAAGTGGACACTTCACCAAGGATTGCACAAAAGAAGGATGCAGGCTGTGCGATGGAAAGAAACATCATCATACCTTGTGTCCACAGCGCACGAAACCGAATCCAGTAACAGGCACAAGTACTAGAAGAGAACAGGAAAATCAATTCTCCAGGCGGAACACACCTCAACGAGATCCTACAAAGAGTGGAAACAACCCACAACAGAGGAAACTAACCAATACGCTTGCGCATATGCACTCAGCGGACACTGAGCTATGCGAAGCGGGAGCACAAAGGCATAGGCAAACGGCAGGTGCCGACCTATATGTGGCGGCGGCTTATGGCGCGGAGGACAGCCATAACCGCACCTCAAGTGGCGCCTTTCTCAGAGAAAGGACAGTGACGTTTGTGGCCCTAGGGAGTTGGAGCTCCCTACAAAGGAACACAACGTTTGGTTACTAACAGGTGTTGCTCAAGTTGAGGACGTACGACACAACCGCTGGAGAAACATCGAAATATTACTGGATACAGGAGCTGACCGTTCATTCATAAGTGAGGATTTGGCTAGTGAGCTGGGTCTCACTTTCAAGGAAAGTAAGGATTTTAAAATACACACATTCGGTTCGGAAAAGGCGAAGAAGGCAACATGTAAGCTCACAAGGGCAAACGTCAAGGATGCACAAGGAAACCATCACGAACTTGATTTCTACACGACGCCAATTGTCACAACGGGATACAAAACAGCACAACTCAATGCTGAAGATCAAGCCTTCATCGCACATAATCGGATACAGCTCTCGAAAACGAGGTGGAAAGGAGCTTCTAGACCTCAAGTCCTAATAGGATGCGATCAACTATGGACATTCCTGGACACACCCCAACCCCGGTTACAGTTACCGTCAGGCTTACACCTCATTCCATCCAAACTAGGATATTTACTGACAGGGCGGCAAAATCACTTGCAAGCCTGTACCCAAACAAACACAGCTGACATAGAAACCATTTCGGTGAACACCCTCGCGAATTTCGATGAGGAATTGGAAAGATGGGACAAGTACTGGACAATGGATTCAGCTGGAGTTTGCGAGTTCAATGGAACAAAGAACGCGGAAAAGGAGGCGACCAACAAGCAAGTTGAGAAATTTTTTGAGGACACAATCCAAAGGCGCAAGGATGGCTATTATGTTCGTCTGCCGTACAAGGACAACCATCCCCCACTACCGACGAACAAAGCAATTGCGCTCAAACGCCTCCACTCTACTATAGAGTCTTTGAAAAGATCTCCGTTCATTACTGCACGATTATGACAGGACCTTCAAAGAACAACAAGAAAAAGGAATCATAGAAATTGTCGAAGACCCAAATTACACAGACGGTACGATACTACATTATATACCTCACCAACCAGTGGTAACGCCACATAAGGAAACAACGAAATTACGAATCGTCTTCGACGCCTCGGCACACTTCAGGGATAGCCCATCACTGAATGATGTGCTTCACCAAGGGCCACTCATACTACCAGACCTCTACGCGGTGTTGGTGCGTTTTCGAATACCGAAATACGTCATCGTAGCCGACGTAGAAAAGGCCTTTCTCCAGGTGAGGCTACATGAACAAGATAGAGACGCGACAAGATTTCTATGGATAAAAGATCTCGAGGAACCGGTCACTGACAACAACATTCGAGTGTTTCGTTTCACTCGAGTGACATTTGGGCTCAATGTTTCCCCATACCTACTGGCAGGCACGATCAGACATCACTTAAAGTGCGAAGTGGAAGATAAAACCTTCGCTAAGGAAATACAAAACAATTTGTATGTGGATAACCTCGCACTCTCAGCGGAGGATGAAGACGACGCCATAGTTAAGTCCCTTGAAGCACGCAAAATCTTCGCTCAGATGGGAATGAACCTAAGAGAGTTTCAATCGAACTGTGACAATATACAACACTCTTTACCCGAAGAAGCCTGTGCGAAGTCAGCATCACAAAAAATCCTGGGCATCACTTGGAACCCGAAAGAGGACATCTTTCTTATATCATGCTCAATGTCTCCTTCAGACGACCTGACTAAACGGCAAGTAGCTCATCAAATATCCTCAATCTTTGATCCTATGGGATGGTTAGTTCCTCTGTTGATGCCAGCGAAGAAATTCCAACAAGATTTATGGAAGCAGGAATTCTCATGGGACGCTAAACTACCATAACCAGCTCGCGCACAATGGAGATCCATCGTGGAGGATATTGATAATTTTCAAAAACCACTTCCACGTCGCTATATGGAGAACACCTCACTCCAACATCTCGCAGTCTTTGCGGATGCAAGTGAAAACGCTATGGCAACCTGTGCCTATCTGTTCAATGAAAATTCCTCAGCATTGGTCATGGGAAAAGGGAAACTTCCATCAATAAAGACCAAGACTACGATGCCAAAACTAGAAATGAATGCTCTCACCTTAGCGGTACGCCTGGCCCTTTCTATCACGAAGGCACTCAAATCCAGTCCCTTTCACCAACTGGAAGAGATATACATATTTTCAGACTTCACAAATTTCACTGAGTTGGCTTTCTACTTCGAAACAGAAGGCTCTAGGGGTATTAGTCACAAATAGGTTGCGCGAAATTCGCCGTATTGTTCGGGAACTTGAACAGGAAGGAGTGACAGTGAAGTTCGCCTATGTGAACACCTCAGAGAATCCCGCAGATGCAGGAACACGAGGGCTATCGAAGACACAGTTTCAGAACCATATGTGGTGGACGG